GCAGAACAGGCCGAGGAGCTTCTGACTACATTCTTTCCACCTCTGCCGCAGCAAATTGAAGAGGAGGACGAGCACTCCACGCGGACGGCCGTAGCCATGCCTGACCTTACAATGGAGGAAGTAGAGAGGCAACTGATGGCGGCGAAACCGTGGAAGGCACCTGGCAAAGACGGTTTACCAATGGTGGTATGGCAGAAGGTCTGGCCCGTGGTCCAGCACCATGTGGTAGCGCTGTTCCAGAAATCGCTTGATGAGGGCGCGTTACCGCATCAGTGGCGACACGCGAAGATCATTCCGCTTAAGAAAAGTGGCAAGGAAGACTATGGCATCGCAGGCTCTTGGCGTCCGATATCGTTACTATGCACACTGGGCAAAGTGTTAGAGTCCGTCATTGCGGAAAGACTCTCCCACGCAGTGGAAGCATTTGGGCTTCTCCCCACTAACCATTTCGGAGGACGTAAGCAAAGATCGGCGGAGCATGCGCTGTTGCTTTTGCAGGAACAAATATTCGCAGCCTGGCGGGGAAGAAGGGTGCTTAGTCTTGTCAGCTTCGATGTGAAAGGGGCATATAATGGCGTGTTCAAAGATCGACTGCTCCAAAGGATGAGGACAAGAGGTGTACCGGAGAAAATTGTGCGTTGGACCGAAGCCTTCTGCTCTGATAGAACGGCCTCCCTCCAGGTCAATGGTCAAGAATCCGACGTACAGGATCTGCCCCAAGCGGGTTTGCCGCAGGGCTCACCTTTGTCTCCTATAGCATATCTGTTTTTCAACGCAGATCTGGTCCAACGCAAGATCGATGCCAACGGAGGCGCAATTGCATTCATTGACGACTTCACAGCCTGGGTCACTGGTCCAACGGCACAAAGCAACCTGGAGGGAATTCAATCGATCGTCGAACACGCAACAGACTGGGAACGGCGCAGCGGAGCGACGTTCCAGGCGAAGAAGACTGCAATTATGCACTTTACTCGGAATGCACAAAAATTAGACACAACACCCATCATGATCAAAGGGGAGATGGTGAAACCCAAAGGACATACCAAGATTCTAGGTGTGGTGATGGACACTCGGCTCAAATTTCGACAGCATATTGCCGAAGCCGCGTCAAAGGGCCTGGAAGCGGCCATGGAATTGAAGAGACTCCGAGGATTGTCAGCAAGAACGGCAAGGCAGTTGTTTGCCGCTACGGTGACTCCAATAGTGGACTATGCGTCTAACGTCTGGATGCACGCCTACAAAGACAGATTGATGGGGCCGATCAACCGCGTTCAGAGAGCGGGAGCGCAGGCCATCGTGGGCACATTCATGACTGTGGCGACATCGGTGGCAGAAGCTGAAGCGCACATTGTGAGCGCGCGCGAGCGATTTTGGAAAAGGGCCATCAAGATGTGGATGGATGTGCATACACTGCCAGAGACGAATCCGCTCAGCAGAATTACGAGTCGGATCAAGAAGTTTTACCCGTACTATTTATCACCACTACACCAGGTGGCGAAGAGGTTGAAAGACGCGCCTCTGTCACAAATGGAGACCATCACCCCAGTCCCGCTGGAACCGTGGAGAGCCCGCCTGAAGACATTGATGGACAAACCGAGCGATGGGTGGACGATAGCTGTTGCGGTGAGCAGTTCAGCGAGAAACGGCACAGTGGGAGCCGGTGGAATTATCCAGAGCACAGCCACAACAAGCAACGAATCGAAACGGGAAGTTTTCTCCTTCACGCTCGGGGCGAGAACAGGCCAGAACCCGTTCGCAGGCGAATTGGCGGCCATAGCATATGCACTACGAAATGTACGCGACGCCTATCGACAAAACATCGTGATCTCAACGCGCAACAAGGCGGCAGTGGCAGCGCTAAATCGACCCCACCAGCAGTCAGGACAAGAATTCATCAAGTGTATTTACGACTCGGTGGGGGAACTGGCTGACAAAGGAAACACTGTTGTGGTGAGTTGGGAGTCACCGGACAAGAACAAGCTGCTACACACGGCCAAAAAGCAAGCAAAGGCAGCGACAGAGCAAGGGGCGGTGCCACACGCCCCGTTTCCAGTCATGAAATCAACACTGTTGTATATCGAACAGAGGAAGCTTACAGGCGAACGGAGCATACCTGAAGGAGTCGGGCGATTCACCAAGACAATTGATACGGCCATACCGGGGGACCACACGCAAAAAATTTACGAAGAGCATTCATGGAAGGAGCGATCAACGCTTGCTCAACTGCGGACGGACATGGGGAGGTTAAACGGATACCTCCACCGTATCAAGGCAACGTCCTCTGGGCAATGCGCGTGCGGGGAGGCGAGAGAAACGGTGGAGCACTTTCTTCTGCACTGCCCACGGTGGGACGAACAGCGGACAGGATTTCGCGAAGACGCAAGTACAAAATGGGATGACTTGTCGTTCCGATTAGGAGGCAAATCACCAACAGACGGACCGAAATGGAAACCAAATCTGGGAGCAGTTCGAGCGACGATACAGTTTACACTGGCCACGGGACGGTTCGACTATTGACGAGCAAATACCCACGACAAGTTTTCAACATAACACAAAACCGCAGTCACGACGCAATTGACTAGCGACGCTTCGGTCGCTGAAGATAGGACGCCGAACACTTGAGGAATAGCCCTCAAGCTAGCTAGTTATTGATAATAAACAAAGTGAATGTGGTTGGGTGGAGGCGAAAGACGAAGCAAATCGAGCAAAAGGATGACAAGGATAGAAGCGAAGGGAACGTTACGGGAAAGTAAACATGTACCTAAGCATAGCTAGTGAGCCCTATTGGCCGGAGGCCACCGGGCGTAATAAATCATGAATGAAT